GTGGATGGTCGAGGGCTGGATGGGGCGTTAGTAGTGGTGGGATGAAGTGGTGTTGTGGGGGTAGGTACGAACCTTCTTCAGAATCTCGAGCCAGATGTGCTCGGACCAGTGAGGAGCAATGACGGCCATCATCAGTGCCTGCAGCTCGATGTAGCGGAGGACGACGTCACGGTGCATGCCGATGCCGGCAGTGGTGGTGGCTTCACGGTAGAAGTCACGGGCGCTGACCAGGTCGTACAGACCAGACTTCAGGGCGAGCTTGAAGTTGGTGCTAAAAGTACAGTTAGCTTCTCGTAAAATTCCAAGTAGAAGCCAAATGCAGCAAAACGGTATTGTTGATTGTTGTCCATCAGGCATGTGGTGATGTTTGTCTCATGGCCGTGAAAGGCTCTGAAGTAGCAAATACGTAGAATATGCGAACATCATGTGGACGAGTGGTTGCAGGATTATCGGGGATAGCAAAGTGACTTACTCCTGGTAGTGCTTCTTGGTCTCACGGACAAGGCCGTTGAGCTCGTTGTCAAAGAGCTTGTCCCAGAAGGCATCGGCCGGACCGGTACGCAGGGTCTCGTCCTTGACAACTTCCTCCATCCAGTCCTTGAGAGTGTGGAGACGAAGGATGTTGCTGTTTGCGACGGTCTCCTCGAAGTTGGCGTCCTCAATACCATCACCAGCATCGGCAAAGGCAATACGGGTAGCATCGGCACCGAACTTGTCGACAGCATCCTTCAGGGTAAGGAAGTTACCCGTACTCTTGCTCATCTTCTCACCGTTGAGCAGCAAGTGTCCGTTAGCACGGACACCGCGAGGCCAGTACTCAGGAGGGAAGAGGGCGACGTGGATGTACAGGAAAAAGGTCAAGTGGTTCTGGATGAGATCCTTTCCGGAGACACGGACGTCCAGAGGGTACCAGTACTCGAACTCTCTGCGCATCTTCTGCAGAGCCTCCTTGCTGATACCGCTCTTGGAAACAAGCTCATCGCTGAGCTCACGTCTGGTGAAGATGTAGTCCCAGACTTCGTCGATCATCTGCTCGGCCTTCACGTTCAGGGAACCAGGCTCCTTACCGTAGCGGTCGCCGTGCAGGTAGTGGGCGATGGTGTAGTATGCCATGTAGACGGTACTGTCACTCAAACTCTCAACAAGGAACTGCTTGTCCCAGGGCAGCTTCGAACCCAGACCGTAGGTTCTGGCGCAAGCCCAGCGGTTGAGCCAAGACAGGTTCTTCTCGAAACCGTTCTTGGTTTCGTTCGAGTAGGTGTTCAGGGTGTTCACAACGTGGTTCAGGGTGGTCTTCTGCCACTCAGCATCGTTCTCACCGTAGTTCAGGAACCACTGGCCGAGGTAGGCAACGACACAGTCATCGCCACTGCGACTGACGACCTTGCCCATGGGGTCGGCGAAGGGGAAGGCATCTCCGCTCTCGTAGAGAGACTTACGGATCTTCTCCTTGACAGCGCTCACGGGCTGACCCTTGTACTCACCAACAATCATGGTACCCTTGTAGAAAGCTTCACCATAGGCCAGCTCCTTGGCCTGTGCAAGCTGGTTAACGTCCTTGGGAGAGTTGATCTTAAGCTGCTTGACCAGGGCGGGAGCAGTGAGGTTTCCGTACGTGGGAGTCTCAATGAGAGGGAAGATCTCCAGCTCAGCCCACTCCTTCTTGATACCATAGTACTCCGGCTTCTTCGCGAGATCCATCAGAGTGGCGTAATCATCGGGGGAATCCGAGGGCACGGAAGTGACGACACCGGTACCCTTGCTGGCGGAGACTCCCTCCATGGGAAGGATGCGCACACCTTCAGTGTGGAAAGAGAGAGGAGCGTTGACGAGAGTACCAACAAAGGCGGTTCCAGGAGCCTCAACGACAAGGGGCAGTTGGTCCTGGGACTTAAGGAATTTCTCGCCGTCGGAGAAGTAGCCCTGGAAGGCCATGTTCCAGGCAGCCCTCTTGGTGACAACGAAGTATTCCTTCTCCTTGACCTTGTAGAGACCATAGGTGATCTTGGGGCCAAGGAAGCAGCAGGTCTGTCCGTACATGGTCTCCGGACGCAGAGTGGCGGGGACGAAGTAGACATTAGCGTCGTCCTCAATCTTGCCCTTGACCAGTTCGGCGATCTCAGGGGCCCACTCTTTGACCTTGAGCTTCATAGCGGTGTATTCCTGGGGACCGATACCCTCACCCTCAGTGCGGTCGTGGTCCATGCAAGGCTGTCCGTCCTTAGGAGAGTAGATGGTGTAACGGTTGCCGTACTGGATCTTGCCCAACTCGTGAAGGCGGTTCATCTGCCAGCGCACAAAGGCGTCATAGTAGGGGTTAGCGTCAGTGGTGACGAACTGTCTGCGCCAGTCAACACGGGCACCCAGGCTGTCGAGATCACGAATGGCGAGAGGGGGGAAGTGCTGGAGCCAGTGAGCGGCATCGGCGAACTTGTGGATCTCCTCAATGGGGATACCAATAGCCAACATGATCTGGAACTGGTACTTCATCTTAACGGTCTTGGCGGCGGCCTTGCTCTTCTTTCCGGAGAACTTCTCCTGCTCAGCCTTAACCTCCTGGGTGGGAGCGGCAACTGCAGCCTTGTCCTGCTCCTCAGACTCTTCACTGTAGCCTTCGAAGTTCTTGCCGAACTTGGCAACTTCATCCCGAAGCTTGTCGGCACAGGCCTTGATGGGCATACCAGTGCAGTGGAATCCGAGGGGGAAAAGGGCCCTCTTGCCCTCCATACGAGCAACACCGGTCATGAATTCGACCTTGCTAGCAGTGAAACTGTGACCGGCGTGGAGGGTACCGTTCATGTAGGGGTAGGCCATGGTTCCGAAGAACTTGGGGTGCTTCTCACGGAGCTCAGCGGCGGACATGCTGCCGAAAGGCACCTCCGTCTCGGAGGGGGCATCGACCTCAAAGACCTTGTTTGCCTTCCATTGGGCCTGGTACTTCTTCTCGAGGGCGATGAGGGTATCTCTCTTCTCGGTCTATGCGGGCAATGAATGGTCAGCTTAGTCCAGGTCATATGGGGTTTCTGAGGAGACAAAGAGGGGCATGTGAGGCAGACATTCTCGAGTTTCATGGTGTTTTTCGTGCCCTGCTCGAGCGCAGCTGCAGACGCAGCGGCGGCGGCGGCTGCCATGGCTCCGGATGTAGAAGGATAGATCTGACAAACTGGAGATAATGAGCCCGAGGGCGAGGAGGGGAAAGGGCAGCGTTATATAGATCGAGCGAGTCTGGAGTCACCGCGGGGTCGAAAAGAATTACTCCGAATGTGGGAAAAGGCGGTCCGTGAGTCACCGCCTGCCTCAACCGTTATCGGAGCATGGGAATATCCCAGTATGAAGGGCGATGGCTTCACTGCTCAGCCTCTTTCAAATGATTGATAGATAACAGATGGAGCTTGAATGTGGAATGCTTGACTGAAGTTGTGAGTCACAACTCTGGTAAATCTCCAGAAGTGGACAGTGGATGTTGGAGTCATCGCGGTGTTTTGGAAGGCTTAAGCGGGCAGGGATAGAATCGGTACAAGTGCAATCCTTCGGAAAAAGACAACAAATTGGAGGGAAGGCTGGGGAATCTTTGAATTGGAAGGTAGTAAGACGTCCAGACCCAAACAGAAGAGTCATCGCCCATAGTTGTCATTCAGTGACAGACTATCATCAACATCGCCGCAGCACAATATCTTAGCATCACGTGATCTGATATCGGCTGCTTTTCTTTCCGCCGGGGATCCCAAAAATCAACGGGAGACAGCTCCGAATCAGCAGCCATCTAACCACCCCGTTGTCGGCCCATTCAGATCAATTACAGCCGGGCGCGACCTGAAAATCCCATCTCTTGACATATCTCCCATCAAAAAGTAGTCGCTCAGGCGCTCCAACCGTCACAATGGTCAACCTATTCAAGCGGATGCGGAAGCTGAAAACCGTAAGTTGACCACCATCACCCATTATCAATGACCCCAGATGCTGACCTGACCATTTCACAGAGGGTATGTTCTCCATCTACAATGTCATCCTTATTTCCTTGACCCCCATACATTCCGATAATCCCAATACCTACCCACCGATGATATCCCTCCCATATCCGAATCAACCAACCAAACCAACCCAACCCATCAACCCCAACCCTACTAACACCATTCCCACCTCCAGCTCCTCAACATCCAAGTCGGCGCCGGAGCCGCAACCTTCCCAACTGCCTCAACCGCCTCGAAAGAATTCCCCGCCATCACGCGGCTGCACCTCACATACGCCCGCAAGATCTACGGCGGGCACCAAGGCGCGCGACATTTCTGGCGCAACTGCCTCCCGCGCCTCAAGTACCACAACCCAGCGATTCCCATGACTGTGCGCCAAACAGAGGAACAAGACGGTCCCGCCGCATTGACGATCTACTTTGCCGAGCGCGCCAGCAACGCCGCATCCCTGCTCTCCGCTAAGGACGTCACGGACAAGCATGCCCCGGCCCCCGGGGAGGCGGAGCAGACCGCTGTCCTGGATGTGAAGAACCTCGACTACAAGGATATCTGGGCCAAGGTCAAGAACATGACGGGCGCGCAGGAGATTCAGGCTACTCCGGAGCAGGAATCTGAGTTGCAGAAGTTGGAGCAGTTGAAGCAGCAGAGTGATAAGGACCGGGCGCGCATAGCGGCTATTCGCCAGGCTAAGGCGGATCAGGAACGTATGTTGCAGGAGGCTAGAGGTGAGGTGGAGAAGTTGAGGCAGTTGTGAGGGATCTTTTGGGTGTGGTTCGAACGGCTTGTGTGGGAACATACTATACGACCTTGGGGCGTCGTGTCTTGTAGCATAGCATTTTTCTCTGTATTATTCCTGTTCGCTTATGTAGTTTTGGGAATTCCTTTTCTTTCAGTTGCTAGTATACATCATGGACTGTTGTCCTTGTTCAGTCTTTGGTATGAGTAGAATTTTGGAACCATGGGTATATGGCATTGTTAAGGATGTTGATGAGTGTAGTGGTCTACTATTTTCCTTTCATTGGCTTTGCACTAGTGTATATGTATGTAATCATGTTCATTCATCATTTTGGAAAAGAAAAATGTGGGAGACATTTTGTACAGTGAAGGCCAACAAGACCCGCCCCATGTCACGGGATTGCACTTGCTGGGAAGACCTCATTTCCTTGCAAAAGACAAGTCCAAGTTCGGTATATCACAGCAAGACTGAACATCAGAAACACTTTACGTTGCATTGTGCCTTTGCATTCTATCCCAAACGACCAACCAAACTCCGTGAAACCATGCTTTGTAGAGTTCCTGCAGCTTCACGCATGGTCGGGGGTGTAGCTTGTTTCTCCCAACATACTCTGGCCCGCTGAAACCGTAGGTGTCGGAGTCTGAGCATGGCTGGATCCTTGCTGGTTCGCTGCAGACGTCGCCGGCTGCACTCTTCCCGCAGCAGCTGCTTGAAGTCTCTGGTCGAGGGCCTTGAGTGCTAGAGCACGTCTGCGCTCTGCTTCTTCCCGCTTCGCCATGGCCCGTCCGTTGCGATGGTTGGAAAGAATACTGGGAAGACCTGCCTCGCCCCGTGCCAGAACCTGCTGGTTGCCCGAGGCAATGTCTTCCTCGGAGAAGGGTGTACAGATCCTGATGGCAACCAGGAGAGCATAAACTTGATCAGACAGGAACGCGATTGGCGGCTGAAGCACATCCGGAAAGAGACATGCGAATGCAAAAGTCTCGCTGGCATCACCCTTGATGCCTAGCCCGTCGGTCGATGTGCCAGTAAGGTCAGGCTGACGTTTGAAGAAGCGCAGGTAGGTCCAACTTGTCAAGAGGCCGAGCCACGCAAGAATCGCTGCGACATGCGTGCCGAAGACAATTCCGCTGATGGTGTTCAGGAACAAAAACAGCGCGGGAAAGTGCTTCACCCGCATTTTGACCAAGCCTTTGAAGATAGTCACCGTATGCTCCGGGACGAGCTGCTTGAAGGCGACCAAGAAGGATGCTTGAATCGAGATACCGCCGCATATCTGCGTGAGGCTTGAAGTCGGTGAGTCAGTAAGGAAAGCGCAAGATGTTGTGCATTCGTCATGAGAAAACAAGGCGTACCCGCTGCTGGAGCCGCTTTTAAGGGCAGCTCCTAGAATATAAAGCGGAACGATCGTTACGTTCGGGATGACTGCGATGGCGAGGATGAACTTCGCAAACTCCCGGGATCCCCATGCGCGCTCCAAGTATTTCCCGCCATAAAAGAGAGTAGCCGCGTTCAAAAGCACTGTGAAGATGTTTTGCTCCACAAGTGTCGCGGTAAGGAGGGTCCACGGATAGAAAAGAAATTGTGAAGGAACGAGTGTCAAATAGGGTATGATCGGGGTGATGGCAGGTGCGCCGGGCGTGGTGTCAAGTTGCCGCCATCGGGCGATATTATACAGCAAGGAGAGGGTGAGAAGACTGATAAGACAGATGCGGGTCGCTGGAGGGATATTGACTCGAGGCGCCATGGTGGCAGAGGACGCTCTTGCGGCTGCTAAACCGCAGGCTGTTGACAGAGCCCAACGGGGGTTGGGGGAAAGGAAGAAGAGTGGGAAGGGGAAGTGTAATGCATCCAGACCAGATGATCCGTACTACGAGCTGGACTGGCTGTGACTAGTCGCTCTGGGCGGCGTTGGGGGTGAGTTCCATTTTCGGACAAGCCTGCAAGGACGGGATCGCGTCTCTCTGATTGGACACCTTGCATGGCATCCGCAAGGCCGCCATTCATGCCTCCGCCCGTGGCATTTGTTATCATTGAAAGGGAACAATGCATCCAGTCATCGGGAAACATGGATGACCAGGGGTTGCCTATGGAGTACTCCATACCATCATTGGATTTGTTGCGGAGGATAAGTTGGCGTTGGAGTGTGGGTGTGGGACAAGATCTGCTGACAGACACCAGTCGCTTGAGACAATGGTTCTACTGATGATTTACGATTCATATTAAATCCAAGTACGAATCAGCCTGGTCATGAACTGACTACCGGTGAAGAAACCATCAGCGCCATTTCCGCTCAATAAGCTTCCGGGTCTCCCCAATAAAGCCCATCTCAGGTTTCACCCTGGCTTGGTGGAAGTCTTCTAGAGAATGCATGACAAAACAATCCAAGTCAGGAGAGAAATTGAGATCAAACCGATCGCACGGGTCACGTGTGGCTCAAGCGCTGGGGTGTGGCTCAGCCCAAGGGAGATTTGCAGTGATGTCCTACTAGTTACCCACCCGCCAGACTTTCTAAGTGGACCGACCACTGAAGAAAAAGCGAAGGAAGTGCAGCTAAGGTAAGCAAGCTTCGACTGCTTAGCACCGCGCGACTCGAGTTGTACGAAAAGACCTTCACAGCAGCTGTCTGCCGGCGGGGGGGAATGGGTTCCAGCCCACAATCATCAATGCATGCATGTACAGAACTCCAGAAGGATGTACAACTGATCGGCATTCCTAGCAGACGGGTGAACTGCCCCCAGATTTAGATCCAGGCTATCAGCTGGCACAGGAAAATTTGAATCATTGACATGAAGCACACTACTAACTCAGGGTAGTTAGTGTTAGGACTGCATTAGGGTACTTTGATTCCTCAGAATAGTCCATATTCTCCGAAAGTCAGTGAGAATATCGCCCCTCAAATATAAGTATGATTTTCATAGGCAGTCTTAATTCTGCAGATGAACAAGGTAAGAACTAAGCGACATCATCTGTAGGTACCAGCCCAGTACGTACAAGACCGACATCCTGCCTAAGATATCTAACGGGCCACGATCGGCAACTCCAAGAAGGGAAAAATGAGAAAAGAAAAAGAAAATTAATACAAAGAAAATGGTGAAAAAAGGGAAAAAGCCACGCAAAATGCGAAAAATGCACAGAAATCCTGCGAACGACAAAGGGAAAGAGCCAATCGAACCATGAAAGGGCCGGTGCCGGCTAACCGGAAAAGGACAAGCGTAGTGGCCGATCGGGAGGCCGTCAGAAGGACCGAATGGAGCAGTTGGACCAGTTGGGATGGACCAGGGGCCCCAAAGTGGGTTGGAGGGCAGCTGCACGCTAGCCGTGGCCTAGACGCCACAACGAGTCAAGCCCACCCCCCGAAAAAGTCCCAGGCCCAAAATGTCCACTCCCGGTGCGTTCAGCGTCTGAAACAGCGTCCCAGAGCCGCGCCTGGAGAAATTCCAGCTTTGAATTTTCTTTTTCCTTTTTTTGCTCTTTTTACCCTTGGCCTGGTTGGGCGTGGTTGGACCCGTAATTCTTGACTAAACCTTTAGACGGACCTTCACAGCGGCGTGGAAACTGACTGACTGAACTGACTGACTGTCTGTCTGTCTGTCGTGAGGGTCAAAACTGTCGAGTTGTCGAAAAGTGTCGACCAGGTACCTGCTAACCTAGTTAACTAACTCACTAGTTAGTTACGTTAACTAACTGACTGACACTGACTAACCTACCCTCACCTTGTCTTCTTGACCCCTACCACCTCCACGATCCTAACTACGTACCTTACCTGGTCTGGTCTGTTCGAACTACCTTTGGCACTAACTAACGGGAGTTCCTCATACGCTTCCCTGGGGTCATCGGCCGGTCGTGTCTTGTCTGGCTTGTCTGTCGGTCCCATAACTCTCTTTCTCCATCATTTCGTTTCATTCATCCGCTCGGATCTGAACTGCTTCTCTTCCTCCCTTTCTCTCCCCCCTCCGTCAGTCCGTCCATCCGCCTTCTTCCCCTCCCCGAAAGTTTCTGGTGTTGCTCCTCCGGCCTTTGCAGTTCGCTAGCGGGTCTGCTATCTTTAAGCCACACGTTGGTGTCGATTTCCTCCCGTCCCGATATTATTCGCTCTTCACTTCTCCCTCTCTTCCATTCTCCTTCAATTTGTCTCTCTGTCTCAAAGAACAATCTTTCGTGTTCCTTTGACCAACCCGTTCGGCAACAAGGCGCATTTAGGATGTGCTTTTGTTACTGGTCCTCGGTTTAGTTTTTCTCACGCCTAGTCCGCCAGCCTGCGTTTTTCGTGTTTTACTCACGTCCGCCCTTCCCAAGTACCGTCTGAACTGAACGTCTCCCTTGTCACAGCCTTGGCTGCATCTTTCCCACTCGGACCCTCCCCTCTCGTCCAGAGACCTCCTGTCTCTCATTCAGGTTCTGTTTGAGAGGGAAGCTGTTAGAAGAGTCTTGTTCCCCATTCAAACCTTTTGTGAGCTTGACTTGGCAGCATCTTGGACCATTGTACCCTCCAGTCCTTGTTTTGCAGCAATCCCCGCCTTATTCCTTTCCTACTTTTCACAGAGAAAGCCTTTCGTTTCTGGCATGCTAGCGGACCCTCCACCTTACTAGCTGTCATACATGTAACAATGGCACAACCCGATCTCACATCGCATCACGTCAATTACCTAATATGGAGGTATGTATCAGAGTCCCTTTCCAACCTCCTTCTGCCGTAACACATCCCTACCATGCTGCGTCATTGGGCTTCTCGGCGGTTTGTATGCATTGCTAACTTCTTTATAGGTATCTTCAAGAATCTGGTATTATTCTCTCCCCATCATTTGCTGCTTATCCTTTCTTCATGGGAAAAGCAAACTAACTTTCCCACAGGGCATGGCGAGGCTGCACTCACCTTACAGCGCGCGTGGAATCAAGACCCGCAGAGTTTGCCGTTTGCCCCATACATCAAAACTCATGCTCTGGTATCCTTGGTGCAAAAGGGCCTGCAGTATCATGAACTAGAGCATTCGCTCGACAGGGTATGATATTCATTAATCATTTCGTTACGCGCTCCCAAAAACTTTTGGAGTAATCTATATATTCCGAAATTTATGAGAACTAATGAAATGAACAGGATGGAAATCCTACGGCCTTCACATCGTCTGACTACTTTTTCGGGCCTACGCCGCTGGAACCCGAAACTGAAAAGGGTCAAAGTGGCCCCGGGGAGGCAGGCGTTGGCACAGACCAGGCGCCTGTCTCGCCCACAAGCAAAGTTCCGCGAGATGGCGGCGTGATTAACGGTCACTTGACGGCCGAGGCGGCGGCGGCACCCCAAGCACCAGCACCAGCACCACCTCAAGCTCCCACCAGTGTGAAGAAGCCGCATAAGAATGGAGAGGCCAACGGCGATGAAACTCCCATGGAAATTGATACTAATGGAGTAACGACTGAAAGCAAACCCGAAGTAGTCGATGAGTCGCCTCGAACAGCCGACATGGTGGTGGACGGTGACGGAGATGTGAACATGGGTGGCCGACCGGATTCGCAGGACCAGGAACCAGCACCAGCACCAGCACCGGTGGCGCCGACCTTCACCTTAACCACCGGCCACAGCGTTGGCGTCCAGATCACCCCCGCCAAGGCCGCCGACCTTGGGCCCAACACCGCCATCCTCGATCTGGCTAGTGATGATCACGTGACCCGCACCCTCTGGCGCCCTCGCGACCCTACCACCGTCGTGGCCGCTGGCGATACCTTCTGTAGCCTGTGGAGGCTGTCTTCAACCTCGGATCCGGTACAAGAGAAACTCGTAGCGAACAAGGGGGATAGCACCTGTGTTTCGGCGGTCGCCTGGGACCCATTGGGTCAGAAGCTGGCCGTCGCGACCTACAATGACATGAGAGGCTCCATCACCATGTATGACGTGTCTGGAAATGCTGTCGATCTTCTTCCCGAAGTACCGCGGATGATTACTGGGTTGCACTGGGCGGAAAGCGGGTCCCATCTGATCGTGGTTGCTTCAGACAGCAGAATCTCCGAGCTAGCGCTCTGGGACGACTCATTACGACCAGACGAATTCCCATCGCCTCAGGTTATCGAGGGATCAGTCTTCGATCTTTGCTGGTTGGGCTCCAACCAGGCTTTTGCTTGCGGTAACGGGACGGTCTATCAATGCGATGTCGATTCGAGTATTCACATCGCCAAGACGTTCTCATCTGGCGACTCTGATCAGCCCTGGTCATTTATCCGCTGTGCTAATGCCGGCTCTTCATCCGTGGCGGTAGCTGCATCTTCCGCCAATGCTACACTATGGGTGCCTACCCATGATATGCGCCATGAGGGTGCCCATGAAGGGGATATCACGGCCATTGAGCTAAAGCCCAATATGGAACAACAACAGGAGCAGCAGCAGCAGAAAGCACAACCACTTGTTTTGGCCACTTCTGCCACCGATGACACGGTCAAGGTATGGCATTTGGATCTGGAGTCCAAACAGTTCAATTGTATTCACCGATTGTTTCTCGGCCCATCGGCACCCGCTCTTGCTAGCACTTTCTCTCCCGACGGATACGCCCTTGCCGCTGCCAGTAAAGAGAGTCTTTTCATTTGGAATGCACAACGTGGAGGCACTGCGCTGGCTACCTGGAGAGTGCCGGGTCCCGAAGAGCAGAAAAAGGAGGAGTCTAGTCCCATGGTGAATGGGCACAATGGCACTGCGGAGTCGGTGCCGGATCGCAGTCTAGCGTGGGATACCGATGGCAAGAAGCTTGCTTTCGGTTATGGAAACCAGGTATGTCGTCCTTGCGGTGCCGTGTGGGACATTGTCACTGATTTATTCGAACAGCTAGCCATCGTAAATCTGCAGCGCTGATATATACGAGACATGCGAGCCGGCTGCGTTACGATCTCTTACTTTCCGATAGTACATTAAGAAAATGGTAAATAGCCATCCGATACACATTTGACGTTATTATTTTGCGACGAAGGCAGGCCGGACTCATCCCTAGCTTGGTGCTGCACTCAGCGTCGGCACCTCTGCTAGCGCTCGTCTCTCCGCTCCCGGTTCTCGGCAGGCCCCGACGTGCCATGTTGTGGGAGCGTGATCAGACATCATTGTCTCCAGAGATCCTTCAATATACTTCCAGTACCATAATCTCTAGTTCTACCCCCCATGATTTGGATTAGACCATACTAAACGGCGCAGCTTGGGTCTTCATGGAAAATACGATGGCGGTTGGCAACTCTACATGGTTACGGTGGCTACATTGACTTCTTTCTATTTGCCTCTTTACTTTCTTGCACTGTACCATTTCTTCTTGGACAAATCAATCAGCGATCGCCCTAAGCTCGGTCTTCGGGCGAACGATTCAGCAGTCTTTGTTCCGCTGCGGCGTGGGGTGATACGCTGGATACCCAAATCACAATATCTCATCCCAGCCTTCGTCCTCATCGACCAGGGTCCCGGTCTTGCCGAAAATTTATTTTATACGTATTTTGCCCGCGTCTTCTGTCTTTCTTCCCTTCGAAAAGTGCGATTCTGCTCTCGGATTCGGAAAACCTCCTCGACGTCCTTCCATCCTCTCATCCATGCCGTGATCCCCTCAAAGAGGGCTTCGCCGTCACCCTCGACATCTTCGACTTTGCATTTTGTCCACCTTCTTTGACCATTTCGCCGTGGGGCAGCACTCTGTTTCTTTGCGGCAATCAATAGGCGCTGTTTGTGCCATTCATCCACCCAGCTCTCGAGCCCTCGTATCGTGCCTTGGATCGCTTCACGCTCAGCGGAGTCTTCGAGAATATCCGTGTTCCTATATTTACAGGATTTGTTAGCGACCATGACAACAACATTATCCGACAAGTTCCCTTGGGTTCCTCACAGTTCATGAATTTCATCATCCAGTTCGCCGATCCTCCGGGCTAGTGTTTCGCGTTCTCGTGTAAGCAAATCATATATCTCAGAGGATTCCTTGCGACGGCGGTCGAATTCCACTTTGAGTGCTGTAACCTCGCTCAGGATATCCTTAAGAGGAGGGTGTGACCTCTCTTCGAGCGAAGCGACGGAATCGCCCAGATCTTGGGAGTCGGTCGAGGAAATGGAAGCGATCGAGTTGGACTGTCGGGAATGACTCATGGGACGGCACCGGGCGAGCTCTTGCGTCAAGGCTGGGCGTGGGTCCAGCAGGGATTCGAGGGTCTCGAGACAGTGGTGGAGGGTCATGGAGTCGGATTTGGAGGTCGGATTGAAGTGGGATGCCAGATGGGCTAGTCTTGTGAGTCGCGCGGAGGCAGGAGTGGCGGTGTCGTGGGAGTCGAGGATATGGGAGGCATAGTCGGGGTCCGTGAGCGCCATGTCCCAGATCTGGCCCGCTACCGAGGAAGGAGGGGATAACTCATCGTAATGAGATGGAGGCGGGTGTTCCATGGTTGGCTAGAGTAGGACTTTGTAATCTAATGATTTGACTGTTTCCCAGTGTGCTCTACCGCCGAAAGAGGGTCAGTAAATACAGGCGTGCGTTGATGAAAAAGGCAGTAGTTGGTAGGTAGGTAGCAAAGAGGGATGTCGGGCTGCAGCCAGGCTGCACGGGCTGCAGGACTATACGTGTCTTGCGCTGTCAGTATGAAGGATGAGATGGGGAAGCTTTCTGTTTATAGGCCCAGGTGCAGAACAACTCACTCTAGTGAGGTCAGTTGTGATCTGGCTGTGGAGTTGTTGTGTTTGAGGGACTGAAGAGAGGGAACAATCAGCCAGCCGCGGGCGACGGGGATTACTTCCACAGCAACCGGGCGAGAGATGACAGGGATTGGGAAGAGCAGCGAAGAAGAACAGGCAGATCCCAGCTGAAGAGCACGTGCACCGTCAGATCTCCCACAGAGATGAATTTCCAATTCCCGATGACTGGCAACCACAAACTCTGACACCTGCAATAAATAGATAAGATACGTCGGCAGTGCTTGCTTCTGGGTGCAAAGAGAAAAAGACGGTCAAACCAGTCTATTCGATCAACCTTCGATATCCATTCCTGCCATCCACGCTAGCCCGCTTTGGGTTCCCAGAAGTCGAATTGGCCAACAATTTGCCGCCTGCCATTTGAACCTCGACGACATCAAGTTGTCATCCTCCCTCACATAACAGGGTCGGTCCTGTTGGTTATCTCTATTTGTCTGCAACTTCTCGAATCACCCAATAGAATTGTGGGCCTGCGACGGTATCTACTAGTAGTTCTTTTATTGAAACCACCCCCATTTACTCCGTCCCCAGTCAGCACCGCAATTACTCCGATACTCCGGCTTCCCGAACTTAGCCTCTTTTTATTTCTCAATTCAATCCCCCCCTCCTTCTCCTCCCCGCACAAGTCGTTTCCCATCGCTTACGGACTCGCAAAGATGGCGCCACCTGTGAGTGCCCCTTCCCTCTGTTCTACGGGAGATCTCTGTCCCAATCTCTTCACTCAACGGAATCCCAGTGGAGGGTAGTTTGCTATGATACTGATTCTTGTTCCCATGTGACTCACGCAGATCACCGTCGTGCCGTCCCTCGAGACCGCCAGCGAAGTTATCGCCCAGTCGAAGAATGCGCAATTTCCTCCTAACCTACTTCCGTTGACTACGTCGATTCCGGCCGACCTTTTGACCCCCACATTGGCTTATCTGAAGATCGCGGAGAAGTGAGTGGCGCTCGGCAAGATGGCCACATGGCTCGCGGGCAAGCACAGATGCGCTAACGTGATCGGTTTGTCCAGATCTAAATTGTCCTTCCTCTACGAGAGTGCTGCGACGACCGAGACGATTGGCAGATACAGTTTCGTCGGTGCTGGTATGCAACCATGTCCCTCGATGCTATAGTGTGGCGGGGTGGCCCGATAGACTGACGATTTCTGTGCCGCCGTCTAGGTCCCCGCAAAATCATCAAAACCGGTCCCGGTCATGGTCCCGAGTGCGACCCCATGCCCATCCTGGAGGAGGAACTCTCCGGGTTTCGGGTTGCGACGGTGCCTGGCTTGACACTGCCCCCGCTCACTGGTGGTGCCATTGGATACGTGGGATATGACTGCGTGCGGTACTTCGAGCCCAAGACGGCTCGGCCGATGAAGGATATCCTTCAAATTCCGGAGTCGCTGTTCATGCTATTCGACACCATTGTCGCCTTCGATCACTTTTTCCAGGTCGTCAAGGTCATCACATACATTTCCATTCCCGGCAACGACTCGGAACTGGAGTCCGTCTACCGCCAAGGACAAGAGGTGCTTCAGCGGACCATTGACGTCCTCCTTCGACCCGACTACACTCTTCCGCCCCAAGGCCCGATCATTCAGAACCAGGAGTACACATCGAACATCGGACGGGAAGGATACGAGCGCCATGTTACACGGCTCAAGGAGCACATCTCCAAGGGTGATATTTTCCAGACTGTGCCGTCGCAGCGGTTGTCCCGGCCGACGTCACTCCATCCCTTCAATCTCTTTCGACACCTGCGCACGGTCAACCCGTCGCCATATCTCTTCTACATCGACTGCGAAGACTTCCAGCTGGTGGGCGCCAGTCCCGAGCTGCTGGTCAAGGAGGAGAAGGGACGGATCATCACGCACCCGATTGCGGGCACAGTGAAGCGGGGCAAGACGCCGGAGGAAGACGCGGCGCTGGCCAACGAGCTGACCAGCAGCGTCAAGGACCGGGCGGAACACGTGATGCTGGTCGACCTGGCGCGCAACGATGTGAACCGGGTGTGCGACCCGATAACGACGCAGGTGGACCGGTTGATGGTGGTGGAGAAGTTCTCGCACGTGCAGCATCTGGTGTCGCAGGTGTCCGGCATCCTGCGGCCGGAGAAGACACGGTTCGATGCGTTCCGGTCGATCTTCCCGGCGGGCACGGTGTCGGGAGCGCCCAAGGTGCGGGCGATGCAGTTGATTGCGGAGCTGGAGGGCGAGAAGCGCGGAGTGTATGCGGGTGCGGTTGGCTACTTTGGGTATAACATTGCCAGCGCGGATGGCAAGACGGAGATGCCGGGAGCGATGGATACCTGCATTGCGCTGCGGACGATGATGGTGAAGAACGGGGTGGCCTACCTGCAGGCGGGCGGAGGCATTGTATTTGACTCGGACCCGTACGACGAGTACGTGGAGACGTTGAACAAGCTGGGGGCGAACATTGCATGCATCAAGGGGGCGGAGGCGAAGTATTTGAGTCTGGAAGAGGAGAGTCGCCGTGCGTAGATGCATTGGTTGCCTTGTTCTTTTTTTCCTTTTCTTCGGTTACCAGTGGTTCTATTTTATATCATGTTCTACGATTCCAGGGTTTTGCATGTGTCAGGAATGCCTGATAGATATGAATTTGAGAGCATTCAACAGTACTTTTACTGTGAAAGTTTCTCGCTGTGGAGTAAATGGTAGTATGAAGATAGTAAATATGGGGGTTTTAGATTAACATTTTGCGGTTCGAAGACGGGAAAAGGTGAAGCCTGACGGGAACACGACGGGCTGCCAATCCTGCTGCCTGGACGCATCCCTGGGAATTACATGGAGATACGAAGTCGATACTATCTAGTTAGATTAGACTAGTTGCATAGTCCGATAAGAGGGAAAGAGTTGACCCAGGGAGTCAAGTTCAGTTTCATTCCTTGCTTTGAGGAAGATTCTGGATGAATCATGGGTACTTAGAGGGCAGCAAGGGTTTGCTGGCCAGGAACGTGTTTGGGGAGCTGCAGTGACCCGGCCGATGACGTCGGTGGGTACTTGCCTACTATTAATATAATTACCAGAGGAAGTATTATTATTGTTATATGGTTTATATGCTGGTCAATCACGGTTACATACTGTATGAATAATACTCTGTAGTTAGAGGCAAAGAGAAATAAAAGCACCGCCCAGAACCAAGTGGCAAGAATCACCAATCGTCGTTTGGAGTAGGATTCGCTCGGAAGGTGAGGAACTGACAGATGGTGGTGTCATTTTGAAGAAACAGACTGGATTTCAAGTCCCTCGCTCTGCCATGGCCTGATACTTTACTATCTGATCCCTTCTCGTGGACCCTTGTTTTTTTGGATTTCAGATTTCTACGTCTCTATACTATATAGTGCCTGACCGGTATCCACGCCATCAATTATTCCCCTCCTCTCCATCCCTTATTTCTCTCCCCCGGAATTTCGATTTCGATTTCGATTTTCAAATAAATCTTTGAGTTTTTCGATCCTTTGAACCCTTCTAAAAATTGAATTGGGCAAAGAGAAAGAAAAAAAATAATAATAATAATAATAAAGTAAAACGGTCGTGGTTTGGATAAACTTTGGCTGGTTTGAGGCTTGCGTCGTCATCTCCGGTGCGGTGCCCACCAAACTGTGACTCTCTCTCTCTCTCCATCTGGTACAAGTCAATATCTCTCCATCTCTCTCCATCCATCTGAACATCTTCCTGGAAACCTCTCCTTTCTCCATCTTCTCTCCATTTTTCCATCCCGTCCCCATCCTCTCTCCGTCTCCATTCTTCATATCCCGTGTGCAACCGATCTTCATCCATTGCTCCCCCTGTTTCTCTTAATTAAATACGGTGTTTCCGGCTTACATACTCCGCCGGGGTTCCTTCAGCCACTCGCCGACTCCCCGACCTTAACGCCTTAAACAGCCACCACTGAACTGCTACTCTCTCTCTCTCCCTCTCTCACCTTAACCTCCTCCTTCACCTCTACTACTATCTACTCCTCATCATCCTCCACTTAACTGCGCGATAAGGAGAGACGGGCTGGCTCTGCTCCCATCGCACTTACCTCCCCAAATCTCACATTCTTCCCCTCTTCCCAGACCATCGCCCGTGTGTCGCGCGTCCCCGTCCACTTCCCCCGCGAAGGGATTGAGCACCGAGTCCGTCATTGCGAGGGTCCAGTTCCGGGCGTTACAACCTCCATCCCCCACGCCACACACACCACCTACACACACATAACCCCCCTATCCACCAACTCGCCGCAATGTCCAAAGTCGTGCGCAGTGTCAAGAACGTGACCAAGGGTTATTCCTCCGTCCAGGTCAAAGTTCGAAATGGTACGTCTCCGTCTTTTCCCTCGCTCCGCTTTCTTGGGGTCCTTCGCAATCGGGCATCATGCTACGGTGTCGGTCGGGACGGTATCCCTGACAATGGTCGGATCTGACATTCGAACCATGCTAACACATGAATTTTGCTTCGTACAGCCACAAGTAATGACCCCTGGGGCCCTACGGGGACTGAAATGGCAGAGATTGCTGCCTTGACGTTCAGCAGGTAGGCCACTTACTCCCCGCCATTGGCTCCCGTGGTCCTCGACCGAAGCTGACGCCGGTGTAATCATCCAGCCCGACCGATTTCTACGAGATCATGGATATGCTGGACAAGCGCTTGAACGACAAGGGCAAGAACTGGCGCCACGTACTCAAGTCATTAAAGGTCCTCGATTACTGTCTACACGAAGGTTCTGAGCTGGTCGTCACCTGGGCCCGAAAGAACGTCTACATCATCAAGACCTTGCGCGAGTTTCAGTACATTGATGAGGACGGTCGAGATGTCGGACAAAATGGTAGGCTCCCCCCCTATTGCGTGGATATGCTTTTCCCCGAATCCGTGTGGTGGCTAACTAGTCCCTTGGGCAGTCCGTGTTGCCGCCAAGGAACTTACATCCCTCATTCTGGACGAAGATAGACTGCGCAGTGAGCGCTCCGACCGCAAGTTGTGGAAGTCTCGTGTGAGCGGACTCGATGACCAAGGCTACGGGCAGGAACCGCCGCGCCGTGAGCGACGGGAACGTCGCCGTGCGACCAACGATGACGAGGATGCCGAGTATCGGTTGGCCATTGAGGCAAGCAAGTACGAAGCTGAGGAGGAACGCAAGCGTCGCGCTAAGGAGGCCGGAGCCGAGGATGACGAGGACCTGGCTCGGGCGATCAAGCTCAGCAAGGAAGAGGAAGAGCTGCGCAAGCGCGAGTTGGAGGAAAGCAACGCGCAGTCGCTCTTTGACGACGCCCCTGTGCCGACCGCCCAGGCACAACCCACTGGCTACAACCAGGGCTATCAGCAGCAGAACGCCGTCGACTGGTTCGGCAACCCCATCAATCCTCAACAACCCCTGACTACGGGCTACCTGAACAACCAATATGCGCAGCCCACTGGGTTCCAGGGACAGATGACGGGTATGCCCAACGGATACGCCAACGGATTCCAAGGCCAACCATCCGCATTTGATCAGAACCCCTATGGGCAACAGCAGCAGCAGCAGAACTTTTTGCAGCCGCAAGCAACGCTACAACCGCAACACACTGCCTTCAATACCAACAACCCTTGGGGCGCTACCGGCAGCACCGACTTCTTCTCACAGCAGCAGCAGCAACAGCCGCAGCAGCAACAACAGTTCCAGAATCAGCCGCAGCAGGACAACTTCCTGTCCACCGGCACCAACAACCCATGGGCTACTAATCAGCAATCGGCGGACGCGCTGAAGCCCATGCCCACTGGATCCAACAACCCATTTGCGCAGCGCACGCAGTTCCAGCCCAAGCCCGCCCAGACTGGACCCCCGTCCTTGAACACACTGGCCGAAGAGCGGGTCACCACCTCGTTCAACCCCATCGCCAACTTCCAGTCCCCACAGAACCTTGCACCGCCACAGCAGAACTTTGGACCTCCGAAGAGCACACCTCCGCAAATGCAAGATCCGCACCGCGCCCAGCTCAATGCGCTGCTGGCGTCCGGCGAAGGCCAGGACACTTTCGGCAACACTGGCGATCTGCGTATCCCCGCGCAGCACACTGCTCCCGGTACATTCGTCAACTCCGCTGGTCAAGGTTTGGATCGGTTACGGGCCACACGCACTGGCAACAACCCTTTCTACGGCCAGCAGCCGCAGCAGCAGCAATTTGTGCCGCAGCAGACGGGCTTTGCACAGCCAGCCAACAATCCGTGGGGCGGACAACAGACATACCATCAACCTCAGCAGGGTGGCAGTTTGATAGACCTGTAGAAAGAGGTGATGATGCGCGGTTGGGAGAGAGGTTCGTGATGGTTTTTTGAGATATCTAGCCTGCGCCAGGCTTGGGTCTTTTATGTTTTTTATCATTCCATTTCTTGCTAGCTGCAGTTGTAGGAGTCGAATCCGGATACCAATTTTTCTTGTTTTGTGATGCACGTTGGCTCGACATCTTTTTACAGATGGTTGCCGTCCTGGTCTACCAGTCGAAGCACTTACTTTCCAATCGCTGAATCACCTCCGTCTTTTTCGAGATCACCACCACCACGACATTCCCTTACACCATGCAAACCAATCTATCAATCTCTGCCTCACCTTTATTCCCTTTGTCCCATCCGTGACCGCTTGCCTTCTCGCACGCTTATATGTCTGTTCCCTCACCTCTATTCTTTTCACGGAATTCTATATACCCTGTTTTTCTTTCTACCCACGAATGACTTTGATCTTCTCGATTATTATTTTTTATTTCTTTTCTCGCCCTCCTTCATGTCCCTTACTTCCGTTTCTTTACTCTACCTACATCTTATATTATATGGACTTTAGTTCTCTATTCTGGTAGATACTTTTATTTTATCTAGCTTGGCTACTTAGCTTAAGTTAGAAATAAAATGGATATATTATGACGGAATCATAAGTAAACAAGTAGTAGTACTAATAGTATTCCCCTAGATGGCATCACTACCACCACCTTGGTAGTAAAAGCAATACAATACTCTGTTGAATGCAGTCTAGAAGTTCCACACATACTACTAAGTAGTAACAGTTCCATTCATAGCTTCCGAATCCAACTAATTAATATTAGGAAATTAGTAGTTCATCACTTCATTACGAAGGTAGGAAGTATCGATATCATTGATAATGGAAGTAGTCAATAGTTCATGAAGCATCATGATACAGGATTGGGTTGTACACACAGTGCTATAGCACTAGATGTCATGTCTCGATTGACGTTCGTGAACTGACCTACTAGGTCCTTAATTATTATCGAGTTATGACTGGAATCAATGTAACTATTTACTTACATAGTACTAGGAGTGGTATATTGATGATGTGATGATGTTATTCGTTCTCTTTTTACCTGGTTGGTAGATGGTTGGTGTTACATCCCTGTGTTACACTACATTGACTTTTTTTACCCCCTCTCTTTATTACTATTACTTGTTCCGTCCGTATGAGAATTGAGGGGAGGGGGTGATGATATATGACTTTACAATTACTACTAGTTCTACCGATTGATTGGTTGGTTGCATCGAGCTTCTTGAATTTTTTGACCGTTGAATTTGATGGAGATCCGGATGAAACGCTGATATCCCTTACGTACACGCCCCCAGGTCATACCCATCCATACCTTATACCCATAAGCAATGCATTCCTTTACCCCCCAAAAAAGAGTAAACACCCCGTCCGATCCAAATCGTATCATATCATGCCCATACCGTATCGTTATCCAACATGAGACATAAAGCTAACCTAATTGACCCCTGACCTGGCACACCATGTATCCATCGCAGCCGGTTACGCCAGACAAACAAAAGAACGAGCAAAAGGAAGAAGGGGAGGTGGATTATCCTCCACGCTCTCCAAACTGTCTAGCCCATTCTTCGTATTCCTGTAACCCTTCCTTGCTGACACTAGGACGGATGGAAAGTAAGCTCGCCTGAAAGTCCTGGAACCGAATCGGCCGGATCTGGTCCATGGGGGTGTGGAGGAGCGCTTCGCCGAGATTGCGGAGGGGACCCATTGCTGCGTCTTTGGCGAGGGCGGTCATGTCGGAGCCTGAGAAGCCTGTTTGTATAACTGTTAGTTCTTATACTCAAATGCAAGCTGCAACTGGTTGCCCTACCTTCAGTGACTTGAACTAGAACTTCGATATCCTCGTCGGAAAGTTCGTGGACTTGGTGACTGAGTAATTTTCGTAGCTGCTGTTCGCGAACATCGTGCTCCGGGAGAGGAATGTACTGTCGACGTACGAACCGACGACGCGCGGCTTCGTCAATATCCCAGGGCATGTTCGTGGCCGCGAGGACGAGCACGCGGCTGGCGTCGCCGATTTTCTTGTCCTTTTGCTCGCGACCGGCTGCCGCGCGCTGCAGGTCTGACCATTGGATGAGGAATTCCGTCTTCGATCGCCGAGAGGCTTCGTTCTCGGTTCCTGATGACCGGGCGGAGAGCAAGGAGTCGATCTCGTCCACGAAAATGATGGATGGAGCGAGGGCCTTGGCGAGCCCGAACAAAGCGCGTACGAGCTTCTCGCTCTCACCGTGCCATTTGGATGTCAGTGTCGATGCGGAGACGGAGAAGAAGGTCGACTTAGATTCCGTAGCGACTGCGCGCGCCAGCATCGTTTTGCCCGTTCCTGGAGGCCCAAAGAGAAGCATGCCACGGGCAGGCTCCCGTAGACCGGAGAAGAGATCAGGTCGGAGGAATGGGTAGACCACGGCTTCTTTCAGCGCCTTTTTGGCGCCATCTAGACCCGCTATGTCATCCCAATGAACTTCGTCGCCACGGACTACTATATCGTTCAGGATCTGTCGAGCAGCCATGACGTCTACCCCCTTGGGAAGTTTGTTCATAACGTCCAAATAGATATCGTCCTCCTCTTCTTCTGCATCTTCCTCGTCTGGCTCGGTCGACTTAGGGCCCAGTGATTCTGGATCGCTCGACGGTGGCGTTATGGTCCGCTTGAGCTGTGGTGCTGGCCGGACGGGACTGCTGGCTGATAACGCCATACGATCTAGACCTGGAACCAACGCATCCTCTGTTGATGATGTGGGAGCGATGCGGGGGCGCGATGTTGACTTGGTCGGTGGCCGACTTGAACGTTCCGTTGTCTCAACGGACCGTCGGGGGGAAGATGAAGTTGGATTGGCCGACCTCAATGCTACCGGCTTGGGCTTGACAGACGGCTTCGGCGGGGGCTGCGAGCGAACGGCATCTTTCGCATCGGGTCCTGTGGAGGCGGACTGCGAACGAGCAGACGACCGCAGCTGACTCTCCGCAGTTGGGGTGCGAGACGCGGAGACCGTTGGTGTCGTCGAGGGAGTGCTCGATGCTGACTTCTTCGCAGGGGCCCGTCGGACAGGCTGGTCCGACACACGGGGCTTTCGTCCGGTGCGACGACTATCTGGATCGTCTGTAGGTGGATTTGATACTTTCCGCGGAAAATGTCCATCTCCAGAATGGGCACGAAGGGGTGCCGGCTCCCTTCGAAAGCTGGGGTCAGTGGAGGCACTCTGGCGGGAGGACGCGAGAGCAGCATCGCTGGCGGTCTTGTCGGGTGAAGAGGGAGCGTTGTAGATACTACCCCAGGCCAGCCCTGCGGCCTGCGAGGCTGCGGCCGGCCGCAGCTCTCTCCGGCGGGAAGCGTCTTTCTTCTTGCCCAATTTCTTGAAGTCACTGGTACGCAGGGAGAACGGCATGATCTTCCGGCGCTCGGGACTGGGGGTGCGGGAGTCCGTTTTGCCCGAGGAATGCGACTGGGTGCGCTGAGCGGGGATGGGGATGGGCCGGGACGAAGCCGCCGCGCTGGGTTGAAGATCGCTCCTGATGGAGTCGGAGCTGACGGTGGTGGACGGGGGCGGGCGACCGGGGATAGTGGGGGGTTTGGAGAGATCGGTATATCCGACCGCGGGGACGGTGCCGTCACCAATCCAGCCCGGGGTGGTTCGAGGAGGCGATCGACCGGCGGAATCCTTTCTGCTCTCGCGGAGGGCCTGCAGGAGATCGACCCGCTCGCGGCATTGAAGCTCCAGCTGGCGGATGGACTCTTGAAGGGCACGTTCAGTCTCGTTTTTGGGGGTGTACTTGGAGGGGACACGATAAGCGTTGTGATAGTAGATCGTTTCCAGGGCGGAGCGCCAAGATCTCAAGGCTTCCTCTTCATTTTGCTGTTTTCGCCGATCGGGGCAAGTAAGTAAGTATTAGGGGGAAAGAAGTAGTGGACCTTGTGAGAAGGGGAGGGAGGGAGAGAGGGGGAGGGGGGAAAGCAGTGGAAGGTAGCATTGAGTAGTAACGAACCTGGCCTTCGAAGTAGACGGCAGTGGAGCACATCAGGTAGCAGTCATCGTAGGTCTTCTGGAGCGAAGACGCCGGCTTGGGGCGCATCATGCATCCAGCGCTGGGGAAAAGGCGGAATGTGCAGGACCCGCCCGCAAGATGAGAATGAGAGGATGAGAGGATGAGGGGAGGAGGAGGAAAGAGAAGGAAGAGGAAGAGGTCTAGGAGGAACGAGAGCACGCGATCAATTGGATGACAGGAAGATAGAAAACACTCTCGAGCATGGGAGGGAAAGTCAAGAAGTAATGAGGTGAAGAAAAGTGCCAGAAAAGAAGCAAGGAAAGAGAAGCAGCAGCAAAACGACAGAATCCGGCGGCGGTTTTTCCTCCCCAGTTTTCTGCGTGACGTCGTTGGTTACCGGCGTTGGCGGCGATGCGGATTTGCTTGGGAATCGCCCCTCGAGACCCCCAGAGTGTCTACGACTTCATTTGTTCCATTCAAATCATGTCTCACTGTGTCTCGGAAGCTGATTCATGCAAACTAAGGCCATGGACAAGTGTAGATAGATAGTATGGTCATCCCGTTCCTCTATAGCGTACATACAGAACATCCGCATCCAATCCGACAGACGCGCAAAGTTGTATCCGAACATTAAAAATTGGGGAAATAAATGGAAAGACGTCCAACCAGAACTACTTATAAAAATGCAACTCGAGGATCAACCAGAAGAAGTGAAAAAAACGTTAGGAAACTCGTCCAGATGTTCCCCTGCATGCCAACGCCAGTAGTAACGCGATTGAAGCACGAATTGAAACATACGCCGGGCCCTTCTTTTAGCTCAGGGCCCAGATTCAAGCACTCAAAACAAAAGAGAAGAACAAGAAGCAGCACTCACCAACATCCCGGGAGGCCTGAATTCATCGTCCATCAAGTCCAGCCATCAGCACCCCGTTCATAACAGATAAATACACGTCAGAAGGTTAAGGTTCCCCATTCAGAGTCGGTCAAGGATCCACCCTCCTCCTTTTCTTGTCCGTTCTCTCTTCCATGATCGCCACAAGCTTGCGTTGATTAGGTCCGAGAGCCTCGGCAGTTGGCGCAATTGCCCGACGAATGAGAACAAGAGCAGGCGGAAAAGGAAGAGGAAGGGAGAAAGGAAGAGGAGGTAAAGGAAAGGGGACAAGAAGCTGCAGAAAGCTTCAACCCGCCCGTAGCTCAGTTGAGCTCTCATTTCAGCCTGCAGCGCTCGATCGGGTCCGTCCTGCGCACGTGATGCTCGCAAAGGACGAAGTTTTGTTTTGTTTTTTTCTGGATTGCTTGTTCAACAAGACTATCTTTTTTCTTTCGTTTCGTATCTTTTCTTTTTTTCTGTTTTGCTTTTGGTCGGGCTTTCTTCCTATTCATGTGACTAATGGTTTCTTGGGGAATGGGTCTTTTTTTCTTGGGTCCGCGGACGAGTCAGGTCGGAACCAGAGGTCAAAAAGGGTCGCTGAGCTGGTTTGTGTCGGATTCATGCGATCGGGTCGTTAGCAAAAGCCGTGCTTGCATCTAGCTGTCCACCTGGCCCTTGAAGTAGGCCTTGGCCATCTCATACGAGGTCCTGTAGGATCGCGTCAGCAACTGTTTTCAATGCGCAGACATCGCGGTAATTTTGCAATGGGCCCGTCAAAAGTCGCAAGGAAACTCACCAGCAAATAGCAGTGCTGGGCATGGTGGAAATAATACGGGGGCGAGCGCCACGCAGGAATCCCTTCCAGCCAAACTGCCGCTTGATAATGGCCGCAGCGTTGAAGAGACCCTTGGCCGACCGGATCTCCTCGTTCTGGGCCAGCCCTCGGGTCTGCAGCAGCGTCTTCACAACGTCAAGCGGGGTGGTGATACCGGCGGCGAATGCACCCGCCAGACCTCCCGCCATGCAGTGCGTGAACGGGTCGTAATCCTGCGATGGGTTCATGACCTTGGAGATGGACTCGTAGGCGACAAACTGAGTGGCGGTGAAAGGCACCGTCATGCAAAGCGTAGTGGGATAGGATACGTAGAACGCCTGGAGACCTTCCGTTTTGTAGACGGAGCGAGCGCATTGAAGGATACTCTTATGTACCGAGCCATGGACCTGCATGCGTTGCTTGATGACTACTTCAGTTAGCCGACACTCCAGAAACAAATTGAGACGGATGGAGCGCAAAGGGCGCAGTACTCACCATCGAAGGGGTTCATCAAGGCGTCGCTAGCAATGGTTGCGGACGCACCGCTCAGCGCTTGGCATCGTCAGCAATTGCACCAAAATCATCGCACCTCCAAGCAAAGCACCAAAACCTACCAGCTGCTACCGGATGGTGCCCATCGTCCACATTTCCACCGGCCATTTCCTTAACGACCTCGTATGTACCAAAGTAAACGGCATGAGCCGGACCTAGAAATTCACCAGATCAACCTCCGCCACGATAGCACCCGCAACGGCGCGCCCAAAATTGTCGCACTCACCAGCACCAACGATAACACTCGAAACGCCCTTCCATAGCGTCCTCCAGCCTTCAATTCGGTAGATGGTCGAAACCGCATTGGTCAAGCCTGTGTAGAGCCCGCCGTTCGAGGGATGCAGGATTTGCATGCGTGTCTGTACGAACCCCACCATTAGCCCACCGCACCCGCGAAGTCCAACATAAGAGATGAAGCAATCAATCTTCAGCACCTCCGACCCATCTCAAACCTCCCCAACAGCAATCAACATACCTTCAACAAGTCTACCGGATACATAACAGAGTGTTCCTAGAACAACCAAGCACCCATTAGCACAACCACCGGAACCCAGTCACCAAATCCCACGGTCTTTCCACATACTGCTATTCCTGCAAAGGCGCCAGCCAGCATGTTCCGGCCTAGGCCGTAGTTCGAAGGGAGGGCTTCATAGCTAATATCAAATTGGAACGTTAGCTGCGAATTCCTATACGGAGAGCAAATCGTTCCCCATTATCGCTTCGGAAAATGCAATAAATCATGCAGCGCCAGTCAATCGCGGGAAGTATCTGCTGACGAGATAGGCCCTGCAGAAAGCCTTGCGCGAACAAGTGAAGGCGCCACGAATACGAAGGGGAAAATAACACGGTCGACATACTCGTATTCCTGCCCGGGAATCTGCTCGGGAGACGCCATGGAGCTTGATTGGTTGGTAGCACAGCTGCCGTCGTTAGAGAAAGAGGCGATTTTTTTTTTATTCGGAAGAATCGGATCTCAGACAGCTCGGGGGGAATGGTCGAGCTGGAGGTGAGGTACTCGGTGGAGGATGGAAATGCCGACGCAGAAAAACGGACTTGCGGAGCGGAGAGGAAGCCGGACTCCGAGAGGAAGAATATCGGGCGGGAGGGGAGGGAGCAAGACGGAGGGGAGGCGAGGAGAGGAGAAGGTAGGATGAGCCCGATGCAAGACGGGGGGGAAGTTATTCAATGCCTCAAGAGGGAGGGAAGTAGGGAAAAGGTGAGAGGAGGAGGCAGAGGAAAGAGAGGACTGGCGAAAGATAGGAAATAATAATCTTTCTGGACAGTCGGGAATTTCTTGCTGCTGAAGGTTGAACTAAAGGAGCAAAGCAAGTCCCGGGTCATTAATACCGTTCGGAGGTGGTTTCAGCCTGTTTCACCGGGCCGAATCCCCGCGTAAGTGCAGCTGTTGCTGTGGTATTGAGGGTGTATCAGTCCGTATGCACGGCAGTCCCGCCCGGAGCAGAGTAATTTATTTGTCAGTTCAGCTTTCTCGATTCTTGTCCTAGTTTAACTAAATAACTAAACTACTCCCAAGTAAGTAGTAGATAGATAGTAGATGGTCAATAGGTAAATAGATCGAGGGAGAACTTTCACCAGTTCGTGCCCATCCGAAATTAATCTGAGATTGATATGATTGCTGGACCCCAACAGACAAAAAACCCAGCCTTTCTTTCCTTCCTTCTCTTCCTTCCATCCTGATTCTTTGTGTTTTCTAGCCCGCTCTCCCCCAATTTATCCTGATCCAATTTCCACCCATACATAGTCCAGTCCACTATGACTATCCTCCACATGATAACTAAACATCATTACTATCTAGTTACCTGCTAAAACTAAATTTGCTCCTCGGAACTCCCAAAAATTTCCATCTTTTCTTTTTCCATCTGCCATGCACACACTATCTACCTGCTGAATCAGCATCCCCGACCTAGACTGCCTTAGACACGACCTTACTAACGAACCTCCAAAGTGCCTAGGCAAAAACCACGACTGATCCGATGACGGAGCCCCATCCCCATAAACCCAACCGACTGAATCAGTAAGGAATTCTTTTCGCCCCGATCCCAGGCATCCATCCAGCATTAAAAAAAAAAAATTATTTCAGTGAAACCGATTAATTCCTAAAAAAGCAATCCAATATAATAATTATTTCCCATCATTCCCATTACTTAATCTAATCACTTGAGAAAAGAAAAACTTTTCCTTCTTTCCCCGGCACGAAGCGAACAGACTATTACTCCGTAGTAAAATGGATGGAGACTACTAAAACTAAGTAAGCAAACCGCCGAAGCACGGAGGAATCAAAATCCAAAGTTCAGTTCGGCACGGCACACCGCGGACGGACGTGCCAGTGCATGCCCGCCAGTGCAGATGATCTTTTTTTTCTTGGTGCGGGCCAGCGGGCTGGCTTATCTGATTGATTAACAGGTATATTCTAGATGGCTTCCCTTTTGGTGGTTTCTTTATTTGCCACGAATATTTCTAAGCGCTTGCTCGGGGTTAAGTTCCTTTTATGGTATCTTTCTAATTTTCTTTATCCCTATGGTTTTATTTCAATCCTCGGGGAATTTTAAGCTCGTCTTAACTGTACGGAGTAGTAACTGCGAGGCTTGAAGAAAACTGAGAACAGGCAGAGCACTAAGTACAGTAAACAGTTGGCGCCGTTGGCTGTTGGGGATTTGGCTTCTGGCGTTTGGCGTTTGACACTACTACTAGATAAGGTAACTGACTAGTAACTAGTATGTAGTGGATCATCGTTGACTTGCTACGTGGGATCAATGAAGAAGGTTGATTCTATGTACACTTTTACTTGTTTTCTTTTCCTTTTTCTTCTGGTCATTCCTTCTCTCCACTAGTACTAAGTCTTCCATTCTATGGCTAGTTAGACTAGTTGGGGCATAAGCATAGATACCTTGTAGTTGTAGCTGTTAACTATCAGCCTCCGTTTAAGGCTTCTACCTACTCAGTATCCTCTTCTTTCATACAATCTCCCACTTGTCAATCTTAGACATCCACCCGGCTCAGTCTTCTCACATCAAGTGCATCTCAAACACACCTCCTCCCCACTTCAGTGCGTCAAATATGGAAAGTGTCAGACTCGGTTAGTAGTCGCATGACTATCGTGTTTAGAGAAGAAAAATAGTGGAAGAAATATATGACAAGTACAGCACAGAAATCGCCCAAAAGTAGTTGATACACACGAATAACGAACCATCCAGGAAAACATCAGAGACGCCGGAGTGTGAGAGAGAGAGTTGTTCAGATAGATAGAAACCATATGCGCTGTCGTCATGCACGTCGTGAAGCTCGTCCACCGGCCGAGGAAGGAGGGAGTAAGGTGGTGCCTCAACAGGATGTAAGTTCGATCATTCTATATACTGTAATCTACCATTCCACGTTGAAGGACCATTCCCCTGGTTATTGCACGTCAGTATACAGAATATTATCGTAGATTCGCAAGGGGCATACCGTTTTTCAAGTTCTCTGCAGTATCGCTGAGTAGGATCACCCGGCGCTTGTTACAATACGCCGTCTTGTCCAAGATGTCGACCTTCAAGTTCGCCAGCTCCGGTACGGGCTTCTCAAACATCTCACTTAGGCTCTCCACCGCCATTTCCAGATCCTTCTGGTTATCCTCGAAGATCTCCGTCAGGTTGTTGCGGGAGAGGTAGTAGGCAAAGGCATATGTCCACTTCAGCGTCTGGCGACATTGCTGGAGCGCCTGCGATGCAGTATCGAGGAACTGCACCTCAATCCACGAAAGCCCAGACTGCGACTGCAAACTCGTCATCTTCTTCTCCGTCTTTAGATACAAATCTTTGTCCAACTTGGCTGACTGCTCATGGTTGGCATATCGGTTGTAGTAGTGGAGATATCGCTCCAGCGACGCCCGGGATCGCGCCTGCGCACTTCGGGCCTCTGATCCAGATTTCTCCTCGTAGCGGTTGCAGTTATACCAGCTAGTACCGTGTTCAGACCACAGTCCCATGCACATCCAGCAGAATTCGTGCTTGCACTTGCGGCAAGTCATATGGTTGCATCCGCCATTCTTTTCGATCGTTGAGTGGCATCGGGGACACTCCTTGGTATTGGCGGAGATCCAGTTCGCCGTCTCGGAATCATCCTCGCACTTCTTGAGCCACATCCTTACCAGCAAGCAGGGTGCTGGCTGGTGATCATTTAATGTGCATCCAAAGCAGAAGTAGTGCCTACAGTCACACTGCACAGTAGGTACGATACGACGAAGGTCACGCTGCTTTACAGGGCAGTCGACCGCGTATTCACAGTTGGGAGCCGGGCACCATTTGAGGTTATCTTTATCGTCGACGTATGTTCGTGTTAGAAGCGCGTTGTATCTGGAAAGCGTCAGTAACAAAGCAAGCTATCGCGAAGGATGTGCTGTAGTTCCCACCTCTCCTTAAGATCGTTTGTCACCAGAAGGCCTAATGACTTCGAGTCCACGATCATATTGCAGCTATCACTCGGGCATTCTATCCTTGCTGCTTCACCCTCCTCCCGGATCTTCTGTCTCAGATAATGGCGATAGCAATCCACACAGAAGCGGTGCCCGCAACGCATGGCATATGTCTCAAGGTCGTCCCCGTCCTCGCAGCAGATGTCGCACACAAATCCTGGTATCACTTCAGTCTTTGGCGTTCCCTCAAAATTGGTACCAAGGCCCGCCTCCTCCAGCGTCTTCTCGGGATGGTCCATGTATGACTCGATCAACTTCTCCCGGTTCCATCGTCCATATCGCAGCAGAATAGCCGACGACTCTGGTGGCAACCCAAGGATCGACGAGACCTCGTTAATCTGCAGGTTCTGTTCTCGTTCGATGTCCTCCGGGCTCAACACACTAAACTCGACCTCATAAGGCTTCCGTTTCGTCGCGATGATATCCTTATCTTTGGAGAATCCGCCGTCAAAATCGTCACCGAAATCTGTAAATGACCCAACAAGAGTAACGTCAGCAAAACCCCGATAACAAAAAAGCAGTCAACCCGATCACTCACCTTCCCCAAGACTCTCGACGTCACTTCCTTGGGTATCCAGAAAATCATCCGGGCTAGACCCGACACTCATGAAGTCCTCATCCGACTCCATGCTGGTAGACGCCGGGGTATCGATATCCGACTCCTTCGATCGCACAGGAACCGAAAAGCTCCCAGGGGTCGCTAGGGTGTAATCGGCGTCAGGGTCCTGGTCCGCGGGCTTCTGCTTCTTGCGGGAGGATTGGCCCGAAGAGGAGGTTGCGGTGGCGGCAGGCGAAAGGGCGACGGAAGCCTTGGTGGCGGCTGTTTGGGGTTCGTTATCTACAAGCGTCGCCGCGGCCGCCTTCCTCTTCCTCGTGAGTGGAGGCGTGGTGAAAGCGTTTCTGCCCGTGGCAAGCCGGTTTTATGTGCTGACGCGAAAAAAAGGCAGGCCTCGAGATGGGATGTCGAGACCTCTTTTTCTCGAGACAACACACAGCCCGCAGCCTACCAGAAATAGCAGGAACTTTGGAAAAAGGGGGGTGGAGGGATGTGGAAATATCCCGATGACAATAAGGAAGAAAACAGGGTGGTAGAAGGGGAGGGGAACAGGGCAGCACTAGCCCTCAGCCGATCGTTGCGTGGAGAGCTTAATGATGTTCATTCAACTGCTTGGGCAAAAGGGAGGGGCGGGTGTGTCACTAACAGCCGGGCGGACGTCACGGGAGGGAATCTGGTGTGGGGTCCGTTTCTGGATCGATGAACTGCAGCAGTGGATTCGGTTTAGGGGAGGGAATATCAGAAAAGAATAAGGTGGATTCCGATCCGAAAATATCTTCTCAACACTGGGATCCCCTTTTCGAGGAATGATCCAGGATGGGAAAAAGGGAATGATGTATCCCTTTATGCTCGATCGCGGCTCCAAAGTAGAGGGACTTGGCAGGGTCAACTGCAGCAGGAGCCAGGAAGGGCCCAAGTTCTAGAGGGGGAATGAACTCCACCAAAGAGCCAAACTGTGGGGAGACAGTTCAAGGAACAGGTAAAGACAGATAGAGCCGTGCACATCGAAAGGGAACTTCACAGAAGTGCGGAGTAAGATAGTTCCTGGGAAAGACAACAGCTGGTCTTTTCCCCCTCACGCCTCTTAGTCAAAGTGACATGTAAATAACTGACTAACGAGTCAAGTAGTGAGCAATCGCAGGGGTGCAATGATGACGATAGTGAAGATGATGTGTGCACTGTTGTCTATCCACCAGGGACAATCCAAGTAGTAGAAGCAATAAAGAATCACCGTGAGGATATTATTGGAAAGATGCTGGCTAAAGCAAGGCGAGAAAAGGCGATCGCCAACAAATAGATCCATCGTCACTGATTCATGGGCATCTACTTGCTTCTTCGGGCGATACCCGTGACTTTCTGGTTGATACCTGTGATATCAGGCACCAAATACAGGCACAGCAAGACAAGCAGATCAACGCTTCATCTGCAGCTCCAGTCTTGCGGGTTATGGGTATAATACATTCTGAATGGGGTAAACCTTTTTGTCATTGAATTTTGGACAATTCTGCTAGTGTTTCTAGGCTATGCTCTATATCATCTACTCATCATCTTCATCTTCATCACTCTCTTCCTCCTCGCTGGTCTCCTCTTCCTCCGCATTGGCCAACCAATCCACAAACTGCTGGGACTGGCTGCGCACTTGGCGCATTTCCTCCGTGCTGCTCGACCGCTCATCGGCCCACCATTGCTCATAAGCTTCTTCCTCCACGATCTCCAGGTCGTACAGTTCCTTGGCCGTGAACAGCATGACCGTGTCACCACGGCTGCGGTGCGCCAGATCCTGCTGCAGGAGGACCAGCAAGTCGACTTGATCGGGCTTCTCGTCGCTGTCGCGGTCGAACAGTGACCGTTCCACGATCTCCTTGTACTTGCCGAAAATCTCCCGGATGGCCTCGCTCGCTCCCTTGCCGCCATCCATCAATTGTTGGATGCGCTTCATGAACGCCGAGACCACGGCTCGTCGGACCTGGTGGTCGGAAGCATTCGCCGTCATACGCAAACTGACCAGCTCCAGTTGTACCACGTCGGATGTGACGCCATCCCGCAAGCTGTCGTAGACACTAGCCGCAGCATCGTGGACGAAGTGGTCCTGGTCCTCGTCGTCGGACATGGTAGTACTGAAACTGCCCGAACGAGACCGGCCAAATTCTGAGATCTCCGAGGAAAGCGTCGAGATAGACTCTGTAGAAAGAGAGAGGTTCGCCATATTGTAAACTGCAATAGTAAGTATTAGCCACGTATACAGCCAGGATATGGAGGGAGCAGAATGCACATACTCAAACCAGACGAAGCATTGCTGGCCGTCTCATCTTCGTCCTCGTCATCATCATAAGGAACGTACTCATATCCCTTACCGCCTTCGCCAACAACCTCGGGCTCACTGGCCGGCACCTCATCGTCGTCCTCCCGGTAAGCTGTCGTTATACGTCTTCCGTCGCTAACCTTGACACCATCGGCGATCTCGACACCGAATGAAATCAGGGAGCCAGGCTCGATGGTACAGTTCTTGCCCACCACTGCCCGGTCAGCAACGATCGCTTGGTTGACAGTCGTTCCATCGCCGATGACTGCGCCATCCCAGATATAAGCACCGTCCAATGTGACGTTCTTGCCGATCTTGCAGTCCCGTCCGAGAACAGTGTTCTTGACCGTCGTCTTGTCTCCAATGCTGGTGCCCTGGCCGATGACCGTGCGCCGACCGATCACGCACGAGCGGGCCAGAGTCACACCCTGTTCTTGATACAGGCTTCCCTTCCGAAGCTCATAGTTGTGGCCGCGGAGCAGATTGGTGTCGGGGCACAGAGGGTACGCCCACCGCGAAATGACATCCTTGCTGACAGCGTCGTAGGCCTTCAGATTCCGGACCCGGGCAGCGTAGTGGTCCTTAACAATGTGTGTGTGAATTGTCTTTCCGTTCAACTCGTAGTCCTTCAACACACCATATAGGAACTGTTTGCGGGGCGTCTGGTAGTCGAAGCTGTCGGACCAGAGACTCAGCACATCAGGTGTGCAGATATCGATGTTGCAGTCGATCAGATCCTGGCGCAGGTCAATCTCCTGGTGTGTCGTGATGAGTTCCGCGTCAATGTTCAGGCGAGAAGATTCGGGGGAATGATGGTCGATCTCCTCGTAGTGTAGACAGCGGTCCTTGGTGGGGTCGATAACGAAGACGGGAGATACAGACGAGGACTTGGTTCGGTGGTTCCGGCCAGCCTCTCTCAAGATCATGGTCATGATGGCGTTCTTGTCCGCTTCACGACGAGCACGGTGTTTGGTTAGCGCGCCTTCGATAGGCAGGTTGCTGATAACATCACCGCTGACAACGATGAAGTCGCCCGTGATGAGATGCTTGCCATCGAGATCACGCATGACATCTCCAACAGACGTCGACGTCGACTTGAGGAAAGTCAGCTGCTTGAACGGCGACGACGGCGCTCTCCATTTGGACGCACTGTGCAAAGCCTCCTGGTCAGCCCAACAACAAACAATAGCATATCGCCAGCATGTCCTGTCTAAGCCCACACGTACTTGATGTATTTCTCCAGCTGATCGGAGTGCGCTCCGCCGTACAGGAAGACATCCTCCACACCGGCATTGGCGAGGAACTCGAGCGTATATTCAATCAAGGGAGTATTCGCAAGCGGCAAGAGACACTAGATCAATCATTCTGCGTTAGCTTTCGAATTCCCCCACCATCACTTCATACAGTCAACGCAGCAACACAATCACACATACCCTGGGCTTCTCAAGTGTGAACGGCTCGAACCTCGTCTCGAAAGTATCCGCAAGCACCTAGAACCACACGGCGCCATTAGCCCAACACCACGAACCAGCCACTTCCCACTGCGATTCGAAAAACAACATACAACAGCCTGCAATGTCTCTTCTACCTCCTCCGTGGCATTTCCCCTCTTCGCCGCACCACCTTTTTGTTTCGGGCCCATCTATACACCAGAAGCATTAGCAAGTCAGAACAATCCAGAATCCATCATTCCTATCAAAGAGCGCCGGGGGCACACAATTGCGCACTCACATCAGGAACGGTATGTAGATCGACCGATGAGTAATTTCTCAAAAACCCCCACCTCAATCACAAAGGGACTCAGATACAGTGTAGGTCCAAGAGTTTAAAAAGAATGAGTAACAGGGGAAAGTGGGAAAGATATTGCAGGTGCAAAAAGTCACCTAGCACAATAGGCACAATCAGACAGCAACAATGAATAGGTTCGCCCAGGGCGCGTTCAACTCGCAAAATCTCCGCCAAGCCCGGCGCCGTCGGGCGGAGGAAGTCAGAGTCACGCTTCTTCTCTTCATCCCACCTGGCGGCCTGTTTGTCCTGTTTGTTCATCTACTCCTACTTTGACCCCCCCCCACCTCACCTCGGCTGCTTCCCCTGGTCACCTGGCACGTGATATGTGCTTCACGTGACAAAGAGCCGTTGCAGAAGGGGGAACAGCCACAGTGGCTTAGCGAGTGCTGGGGTTCCAGAGTCCAGAACACCATCGAAGGCCTGGGCCCTCATGGACTCGAAGGAATATCCCTTGTTCAGGGACCGACGGTCTAGAACCTTATCTATCGTGGATAAAGCTGATGAACGCCAGATCGGAGGTGTATCCTGCTTGGAGGGATCGGGTGGGCAGATCGGTTAGCTTGGGTCGTATGATGACGATGATGGTGCTGATGATGCTCCCCTCCGCTCAACTGGTGGAGGGCCACCAATTCAACCTCCGGGGCTGGTGTGGGAAAAGTGGTGGGCGCCTGCAACGTCATATTCCAAATTGCACTTGGTTACTAGACCTAGCTGTGCTGAGCGTGAAATAGTCTCTATGTGGTTGGAAATGATGGGAGTTAATAATAGATTTTGAATTTGACTCTATAGACTCCTACCTCCTGACCCAACAACCCTGCTGTTGAGCATCAGATGCTTAGCTAACTATTTGACCCACAGCAAATTGACCTTCCACGTAACGACAGAGAATGGTTCCAAAGCGCCCCAACAAATGGAATATCAGTTCCAGAATGACGCGTACAATAGACACTACATGCTGCCAGCCCAAGGTCCTGCTGCCAAAACCAAGGTATCTGGATGCCATACCCCGAGTATCAGTATTTTTCGACTGCATCGGCCATCCAGTCAGTAGAAACGAAAGCAACGCAACAGTTTGCCGCAAAACGATTCGCAACCTATGCATATAAATAACACGCGCCTCCAACACCGGGATATATCGAGCAACATCTGGAAAATAACACAGAAGCAGTACAACTCCCCGAGACAACAGTATCGTACGGCTAAGACTTCATCACGAGAAGAACAACAGAAATCGTAAGGTGGAGAGGCGTAGCAGTAGTGAGGTGAGAGATGCCAAAAGGCGGGTGTGAAAGGAAATTGGAAAATGGTCATCGTTCGTCTGGTGTAGGGCGAGATGAGAAAGGGCAACCTGAAAGACCCTCCATCTAGCCCGTTCGTGCAGCTTGCATGGGGTTCACCATTGGCTGCGGTTGATGAGCGTACATGCGTGGCCGTTTGGCCATATTGGGGTTTTCGGTAGCACTCGACATTTCCGAAAGCTGTCGCCGAGGTGGTTGCGGCCTGACTGCCGCAGGCGCCGTAGTAGCAAGCGCCACCGCGGGTGCAGGATACTGAACTCCGTTCTGATCTACAGCATATGCAGCCGCAGCAGGGGCGGTGGGTACATATTGGCTTTGGACTTGCGGGACGTTAGGAGCCACGGCAGTCATGCCTGGAAACTGGCCGGGTGATTGCCAAGCAGTCATCGATGTTGCTGGCGACTGCCCAGGAGAGCTGTCCTCCTTGACTGACTGGGCGGCCGAGCTTTGCGCGGCCATCGTTACGGCTGCTGCGGATTGAGGAGCCTCTATGCTCTGCGGCATCGTCTTCAGGTGAACCAAGTGTTTCTCAAGCATATCGAGAAGACTCTTTCTTGTGAAAGGCTTTGGAAGGACATCATCCATTCCTATGAATTGTGTTAGTCACTAAAATAGCGATAAAGAGTGACCGTACGAAGGAGTTCAGGGGTGGCGGGCATACCATGTTGGAAGTAGAGCTGGATATCGTCACTGCGGATGTTGGAAGTCATGGCGATGATAGGGGTCCTGTCGAATTGGCGAATAAGGTGGCAAGCAGAAACACCATCCAAATTGGGCATGATAATGTCCATGAGAATAAGGTCATATTTGGAACCATCCTGGATCTTATTCACCGCTTCCAGGCCATCAAACTGCAGCTATGTCAGTCGGGCGGGATCCGAGCAACCCGAAAGGGATAACATACCGCGGTATCGATCAGACATGAGAAAGAATACAGGAATTTGCCACCAATTTGACGACATGTCGCATCGTCCTCCACTAGCAGGATATGGGGGCTGCGTACCCAACCGGGATCGACATTTGCGCTCTTTTTCCGGTTGTCGGGGAATTGCCGTCGAGATTCGTCAATCTCTTGTTTGGGAGGCATCGGATACGGGACGTTGTTAACATGTTCACTGTACATAGGATCGATTCCGTTGGTGGCGCCCACTGGGTAGACGACGGGCTCGATCTCTCCGTTCATCTTGGAATAGACCATAGCAGTATTCGCACTTGCGTCGGCAGCAGATGGCCGCGCGACACCATTTCGGGGAGCGGTCTCCAGAGCAGGCGTAGGAACCACAGCGGTAGTTTTCGGTGGCTCGCCCATCGACTCTAGACCCCCTAGGTTGAACTGGATTTCGGCGTTCATATCATTCAGGAGCTTCGAGGCATGCTGCAAGGGCGACGAGGGCTCGTCGTCCATGGATGCGACCTGTGAAGGGCTCAGTGTCGAGCCTGCTTGACCCTGGGCTTGGAAAGGCACGGCAGCCGCTTTGCTGTCGCGCCTCTGGCGGGCGTCTACAGAAAGCAGGTAAGTCATCACCTGGTGGATGACATTTTCATGATTGAGGATGGTCTTCTGCACCCTCATAACTTCCTGCATCATGAGTTGGTGATCAACACTGAGCCGTGTGTGTCGCTCGTGTAATTGATGAATCTGTTGTTGTTGAGCCACTATTTGCTGGTTCAGCAAATCTATTTGTTGTGTCGGGACCGAGTCTTCGTTGCTCTGAGTCTGTTTCCGCGGAGCCGGGGCCTTCCGTCGAATGTTATCGAGGGACTCTTTGCTGTTCGCTCTAAATTCAGGATGTTTGAACTCCCACGCCTGAAGAGCCAATACAGTTAACACCTATCGCATCGACTGCCACCAAGCGCAGATTGCTTACGTTTTGGCCGTATGGCGACTGTCCGTTTTCCTCGTTGTTCTGTCTCACTTTGTGGAAGTCGTACTTGTTCAGCTGTCGCACGAAACTGGCAAAGTTGCTGTGTTTGAAGTGCTTCGGAAGGATGGTCTTGGTAAATTTTTCGCACTGAACGCAGTTTTTGGTCAGCCTCGAGGATTGCGACCGCAGGAAAGGAGGAGGGGGTGGGAGATGCGAAGAGAGCGCCGTACCTCCAAGACCACAAAACTGTCTCCTTCGTCACCCCATCGCACGATTTCCGCGTACGATGGGTCTTCGAGCATCCTTTGCGAAGAGTATTAGTACGCATGATCACGTCGAAATTATGCAAAGCATCGCTGAGTTTGATCAGGGCGCAGCGACAACCGGACAGCGAGAGCCCGGGGGAGTCGAGGATGTGAACCCGGCGGACGAGGAACCGGAGTGATGAAGCGCAGGCAAGGTACAGGGGAATAGTAAAAGGGGAAGAACTCACTTGTAGAGTTTTCGTACCTAACCATCGTGTTAGCAAAGTGAAGTATAATCGCATAGAAAAATAACAGCGATCATGAGGTTCACAACGGTCGCTATCGAGGGCGACACTTACAAAATCGCTGGAGTTGCCCGCGGGGGCGGCGCTGGTCGAGGTCTGGCCACCGTCCATCGTGGGCTAGATGGGTCGCGACCGATCGAACAAGCAACAGGCTCAACAAGTCGCAAGGCGAGAAACGGGCGGAGGGACGGGAAAGAAGAAAAACCAGCCAGTCGTCAAATTAATGCGGGTGGCGAAGGGAAGAAAAAAAAAAGGGGGGGGGACTGGTAGATAGGAATAGAATAATGAACTGACAAGAAAAAGAAGAGGACGAAAGAAAAGAAGAGGAATGGAGGGAAAGAAAGAAAAAGACGAGCGTAAGGTAGTAGTCGTGGTCGAGAGATGGTGGTGGTGGTAGGCAAGTTTAGTTTAGTGAGTTAGACTGTGTTAGTGAGTAGGAGGAATGGGGATTAATTAGTCAATGCCGTTCGGGTTTAGTTCCAGTCCCTCCTTTTGGTGGAGCCTGATATTTTTTTGGGGATTTTATTCTTTTCTTGTCTTGTTGCCCTTTTCCTTTAAAGAAGGGAGAGAAAAGAAAATAATGGGAGGAAAGAAAAAAGAAAGGAAGAAAAAAAAAGAAAATATTAGTCAAATCAAATAACATCAATTAAAACAAAATAATCATCAGTCAACGGTCGGTTAGATTAGGTAGCAGAGAGAGAGAGAGAGAGAGAAAGAGAGAAATACCGAGGGGCTTGTCTTTTCCCCCCTCTCTGTCTGCTGCTGCTGTTGCTGCTGGCTGAGTTGGGGGTGGATTAGAGAAAGGCAGGCGTGTGGGTAAGTTGGTTCTGCGATTTGCTTTCCATGGCTCACTCTCATTTGGCAATCAGGTTCACGTTCACCCAACCCAGCAAAGTTTCTTCTTGTAGTATCTACAGTAGTCAAATGTATGAAGTAGCAGGTAGTAGTGGTATTATTATCGACGCATCTCCAATTGCCCCAAGTGGGTTTTCCGTCTTCCCCCCCGAGTACGTGGTCACTAGCCACAACTTCCAACCCACCGTTGGGTTGTCATTTCTCTGTCCCTTTACCCCTTCCGGTTAATATTACTTGACTTTGGGGGGAGGTTCAATTTCTCTAGTTTCTACTTGTCCTCCAGGCATTTTGAATGTGAATTCTCCGTTTGACGGGTATCTTGCGGCTGTTTCTATGCAGGACTTGTCTCTAATTCTGGGGGGATGACCTCACGCAAGGAGATCCATAGGAGGGGTAGAGGGAGAATTCTTAATGCTGAGCCAACGAAGACTAACACTAGTAACTAAATCTCTAGAGCCCCGGGGTCTAACTAATGGGGAGAGACAACTCAATATTGTTCACCAAGAAATTACACCACACACCACCCCCCCCCCCCCCTCCTTTTAAACTTTCCAAGCATACATATAAAGTATAAGGCGAAGAACGGTGGAAGAAAAAGAAAGGGAATAATAAATCAAATAGGTAAATTTTGAACACTGAACAAGAAGAGAAAAAAGTAAATAAATCTGAAAATACAGAAGAAGAATATCCATTACCCAAAAACAAATGCACAAGGCACCAAGTAAGGAAGGCAACAAGCAAGAGTGACCAGTACCCACCACTTCTTCTGGCGGAATTACCGGTCTAAAAAAGCTGTCAGTGCGCCTGGTGGATGCAGAATGATGCACGAAAAGGATGGGGGGAAAGCTATGGAGATAGGCTGCCTCAGGTGGAGGGGCCTTGGATTCTGCGCAGCGATCAACAACCCGAACGGCCGTGTTGTGGTATACGGAGGGAGGGGGTGGACGGAAGCAATGACCGTTTTGATGTTTATCTCTCAGCCCATCATCCTTGATTTTTTTGCCTTCGTTCATTCCTCTCGGACCCCGCGGTAGCCAGCGGATTTGTACGAGGTGGGGTTCCAGAGAATCAAATCAACTGCACCACATTCTGGCAAATAGATACAGTATGCCTTCAGTGCACGACCTTGCTCTGTTGGGGCATCCTTTCCTCTACAGATGGTTTCCCTTCTCAGGGGCCTCAATTTCGGCAACAGTTGCAGATCCCTCTCTCGTGGATTAGCCGACGATACGAGGATCCAGAGATGATTACAACTAACAGGTTATCAGGTGTAGGTAAGAACGACATGACAAAGAAAGACAGAAACAGACCTCTTCAAGGCCATTTCTAATTCGGTCTTCCCCATTGAGCCATAAGATGTGATAGAGAGAGATCGGATGGGCTCTTAATTTAGCACAAGGAGCTATGTAGTAGTATGGATCATGGAGACGCCACCTCCCGAACATCATGTACTAGTTCTAAGGAAGCTGGTACTATTAATATTATGCGAGACAACTATGTAAGTAAGTGCCCAACTAACTGCTGGTTAATCCGACTCCTGTCTGTCCTCTCATGCTCGTCTCATCCCGCTCACCAAGCCCATGAATAAGATCATATCAGCCAAGGTTCCAGATGGGGAGGTGCTGCTGAGAGTCCAGACTCAAAACCACCCCCGGTCGAAAGCCACTTGAATGCTGCAAACGAACCCTTGCAGTTCAGAGACAGACAATGCAGGGTTGGTCCGTCAGTCGGCGGGAACAAAGGCTGTCAGAGATTCTGAGGCAGCGATCGAGACTGGTCCATGAGATCTTGCCGGAGTCGATGTCCGCCCGGTATGATTGATTCGATGTTCAACCCCCTCTTCATCGCCGCCCGGTGTCTACTTCCACATGCCGGGGGAGGTGAATCTGAAGAGACATGGAAGTAGACATACATGAGTAGGCCCTGGATATGGCGTTTTTTCGCCATTTTTCGCCATCTTTCACGTGGATGATTGTTCGATTTGAAACCAGCGAGAGGGCTCGGAATTCTCTTCACAACCACACAACTATGTGGCTTTATGTGCAGAGGGCAGCCAGGTGTTTCAAGCAAACCATTCGACCAGCAATGATAGTTGAAAGTTGTATATCCCCCTCTTCCTTCTTAGCAAGTCCGTCCCCACGTTCTCCAGTTGATGTCCGGGCGCTGCAGCCGAAAAGCGACCATGACGAAATCATCGCAATGTTTTAATGTTCCGGCCTCCCGAACGGGAGCAATTTAAATTAATGTTTGTTATTTCTGGAGAAAGCTGAGGAAGATCCACCAGCTCAGGAACAACAATAATCAACTTCCATCCAGCTCCCAACCTCTTCCTCCCTTCCACCTCCCATATCGCTCATTTCTCATTTTAACTTCCTGTGGCAACCCCCCGACGTGGTTATACAATTTCTCACATCAAACACATTCCTTGTCAAATTAACATCCATTCCTCCTTCTCGCCATCATGTTTGCGGCTCGTCGTCTTACCGCCGGTGTCCCTCGCGCCTTGTCCCAGAGGGCCCTTTTCCACAGCACGGCGCCCGCTTTTGTTCAGAAGGGAGACGCCATCCCGGACCTGGATGTCCTGGTTGAGAACTCGCCCGGCAACAAGGTGAACCTCGCCAAGGAACTCAAGGGCAAGGGCGTCATCATCGGTGTGCCTGCTGCGTTCAGTATGTAACCTTATTAGTCCCGATATTGTCGTCCCGATCCAGAAAAGGAGTGGTCGCTGTTATGAGAGATACCCCCCAGTGATAGATTGCTAATTGTTCCACCCTCGGCGGAAATTAGGCCCCGCCTGCTCTAGCACCCACGTTCCTGGATTCATCAACCACCCCAAGCTGAAGGAGGCCGGCCAGGTCTTCGTTGTTGCAGTCAACGACCCTTTCGTGTAAGTTACGGGTCACGTACTGTGTCATCCGTCGATTGAAGGTATCCTGGTTAACCCGACAACAGCACCAAGGCTTGGGCTACCTCCCTTGACCCCGAGGGCAAGAGCGGCGTAAGTGATATTATAACCTGGTTGTACGAATAACATCCGGTACCTTTACTAACGCTACATCATAGATTCGCTTCTTGGGCGACCCCAGTGGCAAGTTCTCCGAGGCCCTAGATGTGACCTTCGACAGCGCTTCCATCTTTGGAAACAACCGCAGCAAGCGTTACGCCCTCCTTGTCGAGAACGGCAAGGTCAAGGAGGCTTTCGTGGAGCCCGACAACATCGGTCTTGACGGTATGATCCCAGTAGCCAGCATATAAGTTGTTTGTTACTAACAGAATTTGTAGTCTCTGCGGCCGAGAAGGTCTTGGCCTAAACCAGCCCAGAGTATCAGCATTAAAAAGAAAAAAAAAAA